ATGCATGTCCTTAACGTATATCACAAAGCAAAGCAAATCTGAGTACCCCTTTTATATATGGTTACAGATCTGGCTCCATGTAAAACATATATATTTCTTGACTGACTGAGGATGTTGTAAGCTGCTCACATGTTGGATTCGCTGACAATCGCAGCGATGGGACATCTGCAAACATGGGAGTGTTCTCGCAACGTGTTGGGAACGTTTCAGCAATGCTGCCACACTGCTGCCATGCTGCAGTGTGATGAGAACAGCATATCAGCAGAAACATGCGAATCCCTCAGTGGCAGCGCACATTGCAGGATCTGTGAGCTCAGTGACAGCACGGCACTGTGAGCTGTCCACCATATAAAGGCAGCACATGCTGTCTTTACAACAGTGACCACTGACTGCAGCCTCAGAAGGCAGTTATATTTCCATATAATGCAATATTTTACTGTACGCTGACTGAGACCAGACCCCTAGATGGTGGCATTAATATTAATTCCACCTGCTGTTAAGAGACATCTGTTGTGTTCACACCGATGTAGAGAATCAAATGCCATTTGCCTGACCTACAGAGCAAAAGGAGAGCAGGTTGTAGAATTTCCCATCATGCTCTGGTTTAAGTGATAGGGAAAGAGGAGGGGTACTGGAGGAACATCCATGGAATTTACCAGACATGTGCGTGCACACACACACACACACACAGACACACACACACATGCTTTTTTACTATTGCCATTCAGAACGTCCTGCAGTTTCAGTAGATTTATGATACCCTAACGATCATTCAACCCTTCTCCTCTGCTTTCTCTCTCTCCCCACACTCTCTCACTCACTCACTCACTCACTCACTCACTCACTCACTCACTCGGCCTCTCCCCCTCTCACTCACGCTGCCACTCACTAAATCACTCACTCACTCTTACCGGCTCTCTCCCTCTCTCCCTCAATCACTCATTCTCTCTCCCTGCCAGCTGAATCGTTTTACATCACTACATGGTACACTGTCAGTGCTGCCAACAATTAGAACAATTACTGCCAAATGTACCACCTAAAGGGAGAGAGCTGACCCTGCCAAGGAGGGCAACGCACACTCTGCTAAACAGAAACACAGAGACATGGAGACACAGAGACAGATGGACATACAGAGACACATGAACACCCAGGGACACAAATCTATCTGTGCATGTGTATGTGTGCTGCATTTGGGAGTTAGCGTGTGTGTATGCATTTGTCAGCGTCACCCAATGATCATCATCATCATCATCATCATCATCATCATAGGCAAAATCTAGGTCTTGTCACATGGGAGTGGTATGTAGGGCGTTGCAAGGTCACACATCTCTAAGACAGTTTGCCTGTGGCCTGGTCACCTTGATCCCACCTGGGAGTGTTGGACTGCTGCAAGTCAAGGAGATAAATGCAGATCATTTATCATGAGGCCTCGGTGCAGTTACAAAAGCAGGTGAACATGGCAGGAGTGCATCTGCAACTCCCTCCTATACGTCTCAGACCTCGAGTTAATTTTGTAATCATTTGTGATGAGCCATGCTAGTAAGTGAGATTGAGGATACTGCACTGTAAAGGCCGCTGTGGTCCATGTCAGTGTGGATCCACCCAGTGGTGATCCACATTTCCTCCAATCAGTGTGCTGTCTCTCTCCCTGCTGTGGTGCATTGTGGGATTTGTAGTGTGGAAGACAGCCACTGGCTGAGTCTGGGGACATTGGAGGGCTCCTCTCGTCTGGCCTCAATTCTCTATGCATGCACGGTGTGTGAAGAGACAAAACTACTGTACATATGCCTTGGATTGTATAAATTATGGGGGGGAAAAGCATCTTTCCTGTGCTGGTCAGATCTGTCTGTCATACCATGGGGGATTTAATTTTTCCATAGAGAAACATCAGGAGCCTTTGGAGTGACCCACTTCACACACGCACAGATGCACAGACGTGCGCACACACACACACACACACACACACACACACACACACACACACACACACACACACACTCTGCCTGTTTGTGCTGCACTCTGTCATCACTCTGCTCCGCTGATTATGAAGCGTAATTTGGCGCTGTTTTTGTCTCTCCGACACGGCGCTGCTGACAGCTCTGAATAATGAAGATCACCGGAGCGAGGGTGCGGATTTGTCAAAGTATTAACTCCCTCCCTCCCTCCCTCCCTCCCTCCATTCCTCCCTGTCTCTCCAGCTCCAGAAGACGCACTCCGCTAAACACACAACATGATCAGGTATGTGTTTGGAGGGAGAAGAAACCCTTTAATAAACGTCTCTCTCTCCTTCGTTCCTGTCCTCCCTCTCTCGCTCCCTCTCACTTGCACCACAGTGCTGTTCTGAAGAGAACCACCCCCCAAGACAACAGACATTACATTACATTTTTGCCACTGCATACTGCAAATAGCAAAGCCACTTCCTCTGGAGGAGACCTGCTGGTGTTCCACGCACTGATCTCCGCCTCACACCTCTGAACAATCTCCACTTCCCCCTCATGTGTTTTTTCACCACACTGCTTACTGCTGTTGACCATACCCTGGGTGGCATGCCACACTGGCATCCTCACACTCCTTTAGGAACAGGTACTTCCTGCAGCAGTTACGAAGCAGTGCCCTGTCCAGGACCACAGCAGTAGCCAGCCTGAACTTGTGCTGTTCCACACCCGCATCGAGCAGACCTGGGGAACAGAGCGAGGGACATACAAGCCTGAGACAATCTGAAACACACACCCTGTTCACTGTCCTAGTTAAGCCCATTCTTATTCTGCCCACTGCAAGGTTTAGCTGACTGTACAAGACGATACTCTGAGGACATCTGCAATGCCGTAACCTTGAACTTGTTGATGTTGTATTTCCAGCGACGATTTTTATTTTCTGCATTATCCATTGTTTGCTGCCAGATATTTACAAAATCAATTCAGGTTCATTACCTTGATCGGGGTTCAAGCAGGCCACCTTCTGGTTGGAAGCTCAGCTACCTAATCACCACCCCTTCCTGCTATCTCATTGGGTCAAAAGATGAAGCACCACAGTTGATTCCACACTGCTAAACCACTATCTGGCTCTGATTAGCTCAAAAACACACAATAACACAAATCACTTCTTAACCACTATTCAGAGCTTGAATACATATTTAAGTACTGCCTTAACTGATCTGATCATAGTTTCCTTTTAATATTTGAGCTCATTATAAAAGTGTCAAGATACTCCAAGAATTGATTTAATAGTTTACATCAGACCCAGAGGAACAGGTGCACAAAGGCATCTCAATAAAATTGCTTATTGATATTTGTCCTCAAATTAAAGGAAACCTGTTTGTGCAATCAGGTGTGAACCATTAGGAAAGGCAATTTCCCCAAGGTTCACTAAACAGCAGCACAACTTCACTCTAAAGCTGGCTTTTTAAGCATTCATAAATGAAGGGAAAAACTCCATGCAACTTCCAATAAAGAGACTTAGGAAAATACACAGAACCACACAGTCAAGACTGTGGGGTCAGTGTTTTGACTGCATTTAGTGCCAGAATGGGGTCTGCTTATTCACACAGTGCCAGTGTGGGGTCAGTGTTTCATCTGTCATTACATTACATTACTTTCATTTAACAGACGCTCTTATCCAGAGCAACTTCTAGCACAAGTCCCCAGCAGTAAGTCCCTCCCTGTGAGCACACCATCGTTCAGACATAAACTCTCAGAATCTCTTCACAGGATCTCCCTGAACCCAGCCTCTTTTCTCTTTCCTGCAACGTCGTTATGACACAAGCCACAGGCTGGCAGAATTACAGACTGCCAGGGCACGCAAGCAAAAACCCTCCTGCTGTTGTGTCTGTGCTGTTTGACGTTAATTAAGGATCTTTCATCCGACGTGCGGCCCTCTCGCACACCTGCACCTGCTCCGGCTCTCTGATCAAAGGCGTTCACGGAGCCGGGGCCGAACGCAAAAACAACCCCATCACTACAGCCCCTGCCTGCTGCCTAATCACAGGCGCTATGAAAGTAACAGCATAGCCTAGCTATCCGTCACCTCGCTGAATTTACATCACGTTGCATTACATTCTTTTAGCAGACGCTCTTATCCAGAGCAACCTCCAGCAAACAGAAGTGTATCCATTCAAGCTAAATGAGAAACCGTGCCAGACCAGGCTAACAACACTCCCAGACCAGTGAGTGTGAGCTGAGAGGGACCGCAACACTGAGCCTGATTTAAGAAATTTTGATGATACCCGTGGAAAAATAAAAAAGATCACTTCAGATACCAGAACGGTTCGCTATAAAAAAAATCCGCACTAACCCTGAGCAGTATTTATTTATAAGAGAGCCCTTATCTCTTCAGCGGCAGTGTCAGGTTCAGTGTCTTGATTTTCAATTCAAATGCGGCTGTCATCACAAGCCTACTGCACAAAGACGGAGAGGAAAGAACAGGAGCGAGATGAATGATCTCTGCATAAAGAACCTCTAAAATGGCAAAATGGCAGGTCATTACCTCTCTCTTGGAAAATTTCAAAACAACTTTATTGATTTGCCGAGCTGCCTCACCAAGTTCACTTTACTCGTGAGTGACTCCCATCTCAGCGCACGCTGAAAGACACTTTTTTTTATTCAGTTGGGTTTGCTTATTTTCAGAGTGTAAATGAAATGACATTTGTAAAATTCGAGTTTTTTAAAATTGCATTCTCTTGCTGCTGTGTGTGGGTTGAATTGTACTAGTTTCACCTTTTCATGTGTTTCATTTGCATCTTTTCATGTCGTTGCTGAGTTTTTTTTTGTTCCATTTACCTCCGGTGGAATCAAGAGAGAAAAGCCCCTATGGGCTGTACTTACTGTGTTTGTTTAGTCCACAGCACAATACCCCCTGCCAGCCCCTGTTTACCCCCATCAACAGCAGACCCACAGAATGATTCCAAGGGACCTCACACCCACATCACAGTGGCAGCTGGAAAGACAGTCCCCTCCATACACTCAGGATCTCGAGAGGATCTTCTAGATCTCTAGGTCCAGGGCAGCAGTGTGGTGTAGCGGTAGGGAGTAGGGCTTGTAACCGAAAGGTTGCTGGTTCGATTCCTCCCTAGGGCACTGCTGCTGTACCTTTGGGCCTGGTATGTAACCCATAATTGTCTCAGTAAATGTCCAGCTCTATAAATGGATTCCTTAAAAAAATGTAACCTATGCGAGTCGGTCTGGGTAAGAGCGCCTGCTAAATGATAATAATGTGATGTAATGTAATCTCCCCCACAACCATTTCTGCTATGGTGATACACATCAATTGAGTCAGTGACATTCACGGTCAGTTTACCACTGTCAGTCAAATAAAGGGTCAATTTACTGCAGTCAGTGATTATGCACGGTCTCCAAACAGGGGAAAAAAGAAAAACAAGCTATCAATTATTGAAAACAACAAAACAAAAACATTTTCATCCATAACGCAGTGTATTAGGGGAATATGAATAATTAACCTCAGCAAAACAAAGCAGGCAGCCACTTTCAACTGCGTCTCAGAGTAGATGCGAATAGCTGGTGAGACAGGGGTTCGAGCACAGTCTGCCAATCATCTTTTGCTTTGTGTTTGCATCACACGGACGACCCCGGAGTGTCTGCCTCTCTCGTCTGTCTGCTTCTGCCCCTGGGTGCCGTTCTTCAAAAGTGCCAAAAACAACAACAGTATCTGTGCATCATGCACTGTGGGGGAAAAAATCACAGGGATAATCAACAGCATTAGCAGGGGTTTCAACCTCGAGACCATTAAACTCTATTAGAAGTGGATCTGCTTAGAGATAAGGAGCAGCTGAGAGAGAGAGAGAGAGAGAAAGAGAGAGAGGAAGAGAGAGAGGGAGGGTGGGGTGAGGAAGGGAGGGGGAGAAAGGACAAGGGGAAGGAGACAGCATGACAAGGAAAAAGAGAGAATGAGAGGGAGAAAGAAAGAAGAGAATGAGGAGACAGAGGAGACACAGAGAGAATGCGAAACAGACAGCAGCAGAACTGGCAGTCTCTGGTGTTTGCATAGCTCCTGGGGAATGAAGTCTGCTTCATACACAATGTGGTATTTCTAAAGCACAGGAATGCAAATCACTCTGTACTCATCACCTGGAGTGATAGTTACCAAACACGACGGTGCTTTTTCCTGTATGGTAATTGTGTATGATTTACAGCTGTAGTGAGACTGGACTGGAATGTATTTGTGTGCAAGAACTGACTGAAACACGCTGCACACATATTAGGGCCCTTTCTGTAGGGGCATGCACATATCATACATACAGCATAAACATAACATGCACACAGCATACACAATATACGCATATCGTACACATAGCAGCATATACACAGTATACATACAGAGAATAAACACATTAGTATATACACAGTATACACACTGCAGCAGACAGACAGTACGCACATAGCCCATTTACTTTGGATGTAAAGGAGAGGCTCCGGCTGTGAACAGGCTGAAATGCCTCTGCTTTGGATAATGTGCGAAGTACCAGATCAGATGGGCTACTTACACAGGCCCTGTGTCTTAGAGGGAGATGCACCTCCTTCCCATAGATCACAGATAAGGGAGTGCCTGTCATACCTATGGGAGGGTCTGTCTGTGAAGAACGTCAGACAGAGAGACACTGTGTGGACACTGTGGGACAGGACAGGTGGAAACAGAGATGCACTCTCTCCTATATTGTGATAAATCCCAAAATATCAGGCATAAATAATCCCAGGGTTTTGAATTATCCCTGCCCACATCGAATCAAGTGAAATGATGAAATTAAATTATAAGCTCTTCCAGGAGGGACGCACTGTAGCCTGATAATGTCACAGAAGAGGGACATTGGGCAGGCAGCATCTGCCCAGTAACTTTAAGTATGTAGAATTTAGATTGCCTAATCTTTATTCACTTATCCTTTTTTCCTTTTTTTTCCTGTTTTAGTGAAAATTTCTGACATTTCTAAGTGTTTAAAAGTAGTTTTGTATGATTGTGTCATATTGCTATGAAAGTTGGTTTGACAATATTGTACAAACTTGTGGTCAGGCCAGTTAAGCTTGCCTGAATTTGAATGTGAATTTGAGACTGAGGAGTGTAAACTCTGTCACTCACATTCGGAGATCTTCACTCTGTCGTCCTGCCCTCTGGCAGTTTACCTGTCCATCACTGTGCGTGTTCTGACACAGGCAGTAAGCTACCACAGGACAGGACAAGACACACACACCATCCTGCCACTGTGCACATGCACGCACGCGCACACACACGCACACACACGCACACACACACACATAGACACACACACATAGACACACACACGCATACACACACATACACACACACACACACGCACACGCACACACACATACACACACACACACACACACCATCCTGCCACTGTGCACACGCATGCATACGCGCACACACACACACACACACACACACACACACACACACACACACACACACCCATATATAGCACCCTGCAGTAGAGTCTCAGGTGGGACTGGAGCCAGCAGTGCTCAAGTCTAAATTCTCTGGCCTTCATTACAACAATACAGCTCTGCCCATTGAAACAGCAAACACAGAGGTACAGTACAGAGAAGATTATTTCCCCAGCAGCAGAAACCAATCTCTCTCCTTTCAAAAAGCGCACACAAGTACCAATGCTCCGGCTCACAGGAGGCTCGGGCTATTGTGTGGCAAACACAAAATGGGAACACAGCCATCAAGTTAATTGGAAATAAATGGAACCATTGTTTAGACGACACAAGCTGGCGCCTAAACACATCTGTGGTGCTACTGTTTTCAAGGGCCCTTGTACAAAACAAACTTCAATCACTCCGGCGGAGGACCGTCAGAACTGCGTGAGACAACCAGTCAGACCTTTTACACTGGAGCATACAGCCAACTGGACTGGTAAAGGGCATACTGCTTCAGTCAGGGAGAGAGGGAGAGGGAGAGGGAGAGAAAAGGGGGGATGGAAATAGGGAAAAGAAACAGGAGAGAGGGATGGAGGGATGAGAGAGAAGAAAGAGGGATAGAGAGGAAGGAGAGAGGAGAAAGATCTGGAGAAAAGGACAGAGATGGCAGAGAACAGAGAAAGGACAGAAGGATGAGAGTGAAGAAAGGAGAAATGGATGAGAGATAAGTTAGAGAGGGACAGTAAACAGAACAGAGGGATGAGAGAGGGAGGTAAAGACTTGCCAGTGAAAGCCGGCTGTGTGATCACTGCAGGCTGCCAGAGGTAGAGACAGAGGCCCACTTCCTTCCCAAATCACCTCTCCATCAGGCAACAAATACTCCCATGAAATTTCCATATGGAGGAATCGCTTTCTACAACCAGAACTTACAAAAAAAAAAACAGAAAACTTTTCAGAGGCGAGGCCAAACCTGTCCCAAAATGTATCTTCTTTCTCGAGAGATGGTATGAGCTAAACCAAGGGAAAATTTTGTGTTCTCTGGTAACTGTGGGACTAGGGTTTGTTATATGTTTGAAGTTTTATTTTTGGGTGGGGCAGGTCATAGGCAGTGGGGTTTTTTTTATTTTTATTGTCTTACACATGCTTCAGCAACTCTCTTGCAATGGGACTTGCTAAATTTGATTTTTCAAGGAAGGTTAATGTGGAGGTGGGGAGGCAGAGGGAAAGAGAGCAGGGAAAATACAGAGGGAGGCCACTGGGAAGGAGAGAGGGAGAGACAGAGCCCTGTCATCTGCGCCTGTACTCTCTGTATGTGTCTATCCAGCAGGTTTTCCCTGTGTGACGCAACCTGGGACGATGGAGACCGGAAACATGTTTTCACTCTTAAACCCCCGCCCCCCCTTCTCACCGTGAGAGGAGCAAGGTGATGTACAGGAGCGCATTGAACGTCTCCTGTGGTTGCCATGGCATCAGGACAGGGGAATGGCCTCAGTGTATCGGCCTCCCCTCAATGCCTATGGTGAACATGTAGAATGCTTATTGAGGAGCACTTTATATTAGTTGGTTTTTTTCTCATTTTGGCTGACTGCACAGAAGTTCCAGGACTGTGAGGCATTCTGTGCCATTTCCTGGCATGTACAGTGTTTTTAAAATGGAATCCCTTCTTGCAGAAAGCCCTTGGTTATCAGAGAAACACCAGCAAAAACTCACACCATTTCCAATGCCCTGTGCAGTGTCTGACAGGCATGGGCACAGAGAGAGCGAAGGACGAGAATGAAAGGACGCAGAATAAAAGAGAGAAGAAAGAAAGAATGAGGGTGCTGTCATTGAGACGCCACTTCAGACGCCAGCATGGGGAGATGGGGGGGCTGGGGTGACCCCCTACTGCCTTCATCTCCTGAAGCAGTTTCTCACAAGTGGGTCGTTTTATGTGAGAACGTTCCTCTCTCTCTCTCTTTCACCACTCTCTCCGTCTTTCTCTCCCTCTCTCTCGCTTTCACTCGCTCTCCCTTTCAAACAATGGCGCTAAAAATAGCAGCTGTGGTGTGCCAGCCAGGAGAGCAGTCATTAGAGTCTGTCTGAGATATTACTCTGGGCTTCATGGCACGGGAGTGAGGGCTCCGGCATGAATAATTTAGCAAAGTGGCAACCAAGACAAAGTCAGCTGGGCTCTGACAACTTCATTCCAAAACCCCAGCAACGAAACCAGGCCACGTCAGGCTAATGTGCAGGGTTTTGCTGCACACCGCACACACACACACACACACACACACACACACACACACACACACACACACACGCAGCTTAGAAAGTGTGCTGCAAAGCATGCCTGCTCCAATCCTGCTGCTGCACATGGACTCCCTGCATCCTCCACATGCATGTGGAAGCAGCTGAAAGGCCATTAGTCTGACATGAGGAGATAGGCATGGGCTTGTGTTAACTAATGCAGGTAACATTAGGGAAGTCCATGCAGGAAGAACACACTACTGAAGCTTCTAAAAGAGAAAGGTCTCTGAATGAATGAATGAATGATGATAACAATAATAATATTTTAAGATAGGATTGGACAGAATGGCCCAGAGTCACCAGATCAGATGTTCTCTCTCTCTCTCTGCTCCACTGCCTCTCAGAATAACCCCTCTGAAAAAGAAACATTGCCATGGATTCCAGCGCATGCCACAAAGGAG